GCCGCCATTCCTGACCTGTGAGTCATAAAACCTCTTTTATAGGGTTTTCCTTTTCTCGCAGTACAGTGTGCTAATGCTAATGCTATGACCTGCAGCTGATTACGGGGCAATGGAGATACTCAGATTCAGCCACTTGGTTTCTTAATGATTTTTTTTTTCTCATTTTTTTCTTTAACTTTGACATGCTAATGTTAAAACTGTTTCTCACTTGGTTTCTTAATGATTTTTTTTTCTCATTTTTTTCTTTAATTTGGACATGCTAATGTTAAAATTGTTTTTAATTTTTAAATTTTGAGGATTAAATTGAATTGACATAGCATCACAAATTTGCTACATTTTGACAAATTTTCACTCAAATTGTATAGAAATGTATGATTAAATTTAACTTTCTTTCTTTTTAGGCAGCATTTTGACAGCTAGAATTAAATTCAATGATTTATGAGGCTAAAGGGCTTGAAAAGTTACATTTCTTTGGGCACATTTTTCACACTGTAAGTGTGTTGTTCATTAATCAGTTTGGAGAAATAAAAGCTAAAAGCATACAGTAAATGGTAATCTAAAAACGTATATATTTCACACACGTTGTCAACGCTGGATTAAAAAGATCATGTGATTTGTTAAAGTGCGGAAAACGTGTTGGGCTAATAAATCACAGATTCCTCTGTGATTTGTCAGCACTTGCTTTCTAAAGTTTTATCAAGTGAAGAATCTCCTCACAGCAGGCGTAACTGCGGCTCATTAATCATTCCTCAGTGGGTTTCTGAGACTGTCACTGTGATGTATTAATGCTGAAAACGGCAAATTCCAAGAACTGCAAGACTCCAACAAAATAAACAGAATTGTCTACAAACTCGTGTTTGAAATTCATTTTCCTAATTTACTGTTGTTTCAGGGACTGAAAAATCATAAAAATAGATCAGGCCCCACAAATATTAAAGGTGAATTCCAACTTTTTCAAGTCAAAACAGCAGAGGGCGCTTCTTTGTCATAGCAGTTGAAAAAGTTTTTAAAGAGCCAGCTTAAGCGTGTCAAATACAATTTCGTCAAAAACTCGACCCCTCCCTCTCCTTCCCTCCTTCCATCCATGCTTTCTTCTCTCCTTCTCTTTACCCTGATTTCCCTTCACCTTTTCTTTTTCTTTTTCCATCCACCTCCTTCTCCTTCTTCTCCTCACTAACCTGGGAACTGGGGGTCAGTGGCTGATAATCCCCTCCTGTAACAGCTGGCCTTAATACCTGCAGCCGCCACCCAGACGTCTCCGACTTCACAACCTCCCGTGTCACCGCCAGTGGCTGAGGGCAGGAAGACAAGATGCAGCCTGACACTGAGAACCTGGAACTGGCAGAATCAAAGGTCTGAACCTGACGTGGAGGGAGGCCTCCGCCAAACACGGCGACCACCCGTGAAAAAAGCAGATCAGGAAAAGCTTCAGGGTGAATGGTGAAAGTTGTTTGAAGACAAAATTGATTCGCCACCAATTCAGAGCCATCACTAACCAATGTGTCACTGCCTTTGCCTTTCTTCTTCTTCTCCTTCTATTTTACAAAATGCTACATCACAGCATCCCGTGTAGAACGGTATTAACACAACGGCAGCCGCGTCCGCACGAAGCAAGTGCCATTGAGCTTCACCCAACAACAACTCAAGCCCGAACTCATTAAGATCCAGTTTTTAATACCCATCGCTGGACGCACTCTCAAATCAGTCACGTGAGAACAACAACATTCTTTCATTATAACCTGATTGTTACTCCCGCCCACACACAGGGCTGTAACACAGGCATCATACATGTCTAAATACATATACAGTGCATGGGTCTGCACTGCTCTGTAATGAAATACCTGGAAGATCACTTTAATAACACACGCAGCATCACGAGGCTCCTCAAATTTAGACTGCAAGTGTGTGTGTGTGTGTGTGTGTGTTTGCTTTCACATGTTAATGGCAGTATATAACTGATATAGTATCAGACACTGGAGGCTGTGTTGAACACAAACAAAGCCGCCATTCCTGACCTGTGAGTCATAAAACCTCTTTCATAGGGTTTTCCTTTTCTCGTAGTACAGTGTGCTCATGCTAACGCTATGACCTGCAGCTGATTACGGGGCAAACATGATTCGTTTTGTCATATAGAAATAAAAACTAGCTCATCATTACCTGGGGTTTGCTGGAACCCCAGGTATTACTGGCCTCTCCAATTACCTCCTCTACAGGTAGTTAAAGTCACGACTAACAGCAGCTGAAACGTAGGGCATGAAGCTCCCACATTCACTCTTTCTCACCACACGAGGCAACATTGTATTGCAGCAAATGCTTCAACTTATAAATTGTGGTTATTCTGACAACAGCAGCTCCCTGCTCTGCAGGTCTGTGTGTGTGTGTGTTTGTAGACTGTGAACATCTTCACACGCACACAAACACTCTCCTGTGTTTGTTGTCAAAGCCGCCGCTGCTCTGTCTGATACTGTGGCAAAACCCTAAGGACAGAATTAATGGAGGCTACGCCAACAATAGATCAGATAGAGTCTAAATAGTAAGAAGACGCTGTGGACAAACAGAACATTTTGATATAAATTAACATAAGAAAAAAACAATGTTCACATAGTGGGGCTCTATCGCTACATTATAACAAACTCGAGGTCCGTGGGCCAAATGTGGCCCGCCAAGTCACTTTGTGTGGCCCGCGGGAGCCTAGAAAGTGTTTAATTACCTTATAATAAGCTAGCATGCTACTGACTTTCTTAACTTGATTATTATTACACAGAGCAATGTAAAATATTTCTAGGTAGTAGTTACAGCTATACACAGTTACAACCGGCCCTTCAAAGGGAACTGTATTCCCCTGCGCTAAACTGAAAGTTTAAACTTAGCTAGATAAAAAGTTAAGAGTAGAACGACCCAAAGCCCAGGCAAAATTATTACTTAGTGATACTATAAATACAAAAGGCAAAGTAAAGCAAACTAGTTAGACATAAAAATTCCCCTTAACTAACTTTAAGCTAGCCAAGAAGTTAGCTACAAAATTGATTGACCATTTGCACAACTGCTAATACCAAATGACTAACGCAACATGGCCAAAAGATATTAAAAGTAAGCCAAGGAAACAATATAATCGCAACATAGCCAAAATGCAACACAGAGTTAGTTGTTGAAAATGGCAACATGTAACAAAATATATCCGTATTTAGTTACGTTATCAAACAATCCACTGAACCAGCATCATACACCCCCGCACCAAGGTCCGTAGAGAAAATCAATAATTCTGTACTCCACAGTCCACAGGATTGGTTGCTCTGCTGCTGCCTCCATTAGTACGTCCAAAGACACTAATTTGTGACTAAGATGTTTGAAATCCTTTGTTCAGATTTACTCGAGCGACACAAATTCACCAAACGAGGCAGCAGGATACCAGCAGCTCCCGTTTTTCCCGTTAGCTAAAAAGCTTGTTTTCTCTGGGGACATTGGTGTGGGAAAGATAGTGGTTCACAGAGTCCCAGCTAAATTTCCCTGAGGGGACAGTACGGCATCCCGGAATACTGTTGCACATCTTGAAATTGTAAATAAAAGATTTGGGTTTTAATAGTGGACAGATTTCAGGTTTTAGCTCAAGCAACAGAAGAACATTTGAACCTCGCCAAGCATGAACACGATTGGCGTCTATTCAAGCATGCAAAAGTCCAGGACCGTAGCAAGACTTTTGAGTTGATTAACCCAAAGCAGGGCTACCTTCAAAAAAATGTGTACAAACACACACACACACGCACGCACGCACACACACATGGCTAGGCCGCTGCTGAAACAGCTCAGCTCTTTCCAATCACACACACAGATCTGTGCTGGTCTGCTGGATCTAACAGAACCACAGAGCAGTGGTTGTAATAACACTTCATGCATATCCCTCTAAATATCACACACATTATGTGTACTTTATTGAATTGTGCAGATTTGTATCAGTGCAGCGTTAAAGCACACCAAGAGCCGCAGTTATGAAACCAGACTTAAGCAGATCGTGAGCTGGTTTTAACCCACTCTGCCAATAATCTGTTGGGTTTTTTTTTTTTAAATACGTTTTTAAAAAACATTATCAAATATTTTTTTCTATTTTTATGTGTAGGGTTTATATATAGCTCAGCTAAGTTTTGCAAAGTTGTAAAAAAACGCTCATGTCCTCAATCCAGATTACATTATTAAACGCTTAAAACAAATAACAAATCGATAGGAAATAAAGTAGGTAAAGCATTAATGATGCATTATAAAGACAAACGACAGCTCTTAAAATAACGTCAGAGAAAATGTTACCGGTCAGTAGTGAAATATTATCAAAACCGACTACTTTTTCAAACATACATAGTTAAATCTTAACCAACAGTTACTCAAAGCAAGCTCAGAAAAATGCTAAAAATGTGTTTAAACTAATCAAAAAAGGCTCAGGTATAGTTAAAAGTCAGCCAACAAATATACAACAAAGCAGAACACAAGCTCATATGATGCTTCCAGTGAGCCTGAGGTAAGCAAAAATGTTGTAAAACAAACTGAAAGACAGTTTGAACTGAGCTGTCAAAAAGGTAATGACAGCCAAATAATGTAAACAGTCAAGACTGTCGTAGTATGCTGGTTTAGCTAGGGGCTAAAAAGTATATATATATATATATAGCCACTGTAGTACTCAAGTATTCTTAGGAATAGGTGAATCTTGGAACCCAAACTAAAGTTTATCATTAAATATCTTTCCACATCTTTTCTCCAACTTGTTTCTTTGATGTGAGCTTTACAGCTTCACACTCCTGCCGCGGCTGCTGCTTTTCCCGCTCACAAAACACCGTCAGTGTGAAAAACCACATTCTGTCATGTTCATGTGACATTCCATCATCTGCTCTGAACTTGTTTTTTTCTCTGTCTGACACACATCTCTGTGGTTTCACACTTATTCAGAATGTCCACAACCCGACATTTTTAGATTTTACCTTCACAGTTATAACCAACTTTTTAAAAAAACTTACTTTGAGAGAGTAGAACTCCACACAGCTCCCAGCTCTGCTCCTGGCTGTGTCCACCTGCTCTTCCTCCATCCCCAGGAACTCCTCCATGACCGAGAACCTCCTCTGTCCTCGCACAGGCATGGCTGACTAGATGGGACTGTGTGTCCTTGAATAGAGTTTGTTGGTTTGTGTGTCAGCTTCAGATAAATGTTCAGATTGGGAGGTCTTGATGTGTCATCTTTTTTTGGCTCCTTCTGGTCTCAGGTTAACAGTGGTTTTCACACCTGCACGGATGAAGAAAACCAGAGAAGAACAAACAGACTGAGATCTTTCATTCAGGAGTCTCTGGTGCGTTTCCCTTACTGTCTGCTCTGACTGTGTGATGGTGCTGTCCAAGCGGTCATCTGCCTTCCTCCCCCCCTTCACTCTCCCCAACCGGACGAGGACGTCCGCTCCTATTGGCCAGTCAGGTGGAAGAGGGAAAACGGGGGGAGGGGCTGAAGCCATAAAAGGAGGAGCAGAAGACAGAAGAGGATGAAGGTGGTGGAGGAGGGGAGGAGTGGAGGTGATGCATGAAGAGTGGGGTTATAAGAAGATCTGACAGCATCCTCCAAACTGTCAGGAGACGGAGGAGGGTGAGAGGAGGTCGGTGTGTTATCACCAACGAGGGGGAACAGCAACACAGCAAAGTTAGACAGCAGGAGAGTTGAAAGATTAAACTGCTAAAGACTTTAACAACTAAATAAGAAATAAGTAACTTAGGAGTTATATACAAATAGCCCAAAGATAGAAGCTGCTAAAAACAGACTTTAACAACAAAATAAGAAATAAGGAACTTAGGAGTTATATACAAATAGCACAAAGCTGCTAAAAAACCTAGCCTAAAAAAAACAGAAAAAAAGAAAAAGTTAAGTTGATCCAAAAAGTTATCTTAGAAGTTGCTGTAATCTAGACTAGCCAAAAGCTAGCCTAAAAAACAATAGCTAATGAGAACATAGAGAAAACATAGTTAGTCACTGTTAAGTTACCACCACCCCCAAAGAAGTATAAACTTTTTGAAAACTTTTCCTTTAAACTCACACTCAGGTTTTTTAAGGTAATTTTTTACCAATTTCACAGGTAAAAAGTTTTGCTGAACTGTATTTTTGACTTAATATAATTATAACTTGGTAAACTTATATTTTAAATACATAAATATTTTTCATTTCATATAATATTTGCAAAAAATAATGACACATTTTACCTATGATTGTCCCAATCTCCTTAGTTTCAGTCTGGTTGAGGTTGATTGTGAGTGTGCGTGAGAACGGCACACTCACCTTTCCTTCACACTTCGACAGTTTCACACTGGCTGTATCGGCGTCTGAAACAAAAAAAAAAAAGAAAGGAGACCCAACACAAAGACAAAATATTTTTCCATCCCCCTTCTGTCAAACGCTGTTTTTGTTGTAAACGTGACTGAAATGCAGGATTAAGGCCTTCAGTCTGAGACAGTTTTAATGGTCTTGGTCATGTCTGGAGAGTCTGCAGAAAAGTGGGATGAAAAAACATGTCAGAGCCGTAACTACCGTGAGCAGGTGGAGGATTAACGGGTACTGGACGCAGTTTTGTTCCTGCCTCGCTTGAAATCTCACTCCTGACTTCAGCGGAGCGCGATGAAGGCTTTTCTCATCGTCCTGATCCACGTGTTAGACTGCACGACGTACTGTAACACGAACACAGAAACACAAGACAGAAACAGAGAGAAAAATGAGGAAAAACAAAAGTGCGACTGTTACTGTTTATTACACCAGAACTTCAACCAACAGAAATGTGTAACATTTGGGCTTTAGCTGGATTCGGAAAGTCATTATAAACAACTTTCACAATCATTGCAGATGGGACAAGCCCTGGTGTACACACTACGTCAAGGAGGCTCGTTCAGCAAATTGTTATCTGACAACTGAGGACAAAGGACCGCAGATGAGGAATCACAGACTACACAATTTGTCAAACAAACTCAATCCAACAGAACACAATACAGTCTAGTGCAAAGTCTTGTGTGAAGTATTGACAGGAACCGACATAATCTGTGGACTCGTGCTCGTCTCGTCAGGTTTGCTTTCTCCTCACACTGAAATCATCACGTTGATATTCTCACAACTTCCTGTCACTTTCTAGCAGTATTACCGTACATGTGTCACATCCTGTATTCATATATATCATAATAGATTAGAACATTCTTTCCCAAAGACTGAGTCGCAAAAAGATTTTTTTTCCGTCTCACATCAGGTTTCCTAGGAGTTACAAATAAATAATGTCTATTGACTTGGGTCGTGAAGGTTTGTGACTGAGCTTTTAAGTTGAGTGTAAATGTATGGAGAGGATCAGAAGTTCAGAACATAGAATTGTATCAAGAGTTACTGTAGCCAGATTAACCCACTTTACATGGACATCACGACTGCAGTAGCTCCACATACTGTAAATACAGACCAGTCACCATATGTCCCAGACATTAACAGTATAATCCTCAAATGTGCACATGGACACGTCAATTCTCTAAACAAGAGAAACTGGAACATGAAACCTTTTTTAAGATCCATGAGAAGGTTTTCTCTGAAGTCAAAGGAAGTTTTGTCCGCTAGGTTTTATCTCCACACTCGATTCAGTTGAAAAACTGATATTGGGGGAGAAGAGGAGGTCAAAGGGTCACTTTGGGATTATTGAAGTCTACTGTCATACACTCCCATAAATATGTCATCATATATTCACGGTAATCCACATACTTTCATCAGACTCCTGGTTTCATCAGGGTTATATTTCAAAAAAGAGAAAATATATAGCTAAGGAGTGTTTGTGACTGCAATTTTAAATTTACAGGATATGAGCAAGAAGCTGCTGAAGCTTTCAACAATGTTGAAATATTATTAGGGACGTATTGAGAATTACTTTGATCATGGCTGACTTACTTGTATCATCAGGTTGCAAAACAAAAATCCTGTTTTAAAGTCTAAAGACCTTAAAACTGACCGTAGAATTTTAGTTCACAAATGTCTTCTCTATACTTTTGTTACTTTATGTACTGTTTAGTTTGGGATTCCTTCACTCCAAGTTGAAGTAGACATTTTAGGTATCTCTTTTTATGCTGATTTCAGCTTATCTTATCTTCTAGTTAGGTGAATGGCTGATTTTATAGCTATCCAGGGCTTTCACTTTTAAAAGAATTTCTGACCGATGTTTGGCTATCGCCAAACTACATTTACATCTTATATGAATTTCATAATATTTCCCTTGAGATGATCTGCAGTGCTGCTAAAGACATCGGCCCGTTTGAGATGATCTGCAGTGCTGCTAAAGACTTTGCGAATGCAATCGGTCCGTAGCTTAATCCGACTTTCATAATTCCAAATAGACAACTATTAATAAAAAGAAGCTGCAGATGAGAGGTTGAAAGTGGGCAGAGAGAGAAAAGAAAAGTCTCTAATTAGTGTCTGGTGTAATTGATGATGAACCCACAGGTCTATCACTTGTCTTTATTTCACCACATCTGATGGATGACTGTGGCCTGACTCACAACCATTGACGGGATCAGCGATGATGCACGTCTTGTGATTTAAACTGTCATCGACAAGGAAGGAGCAGTATTTCTAGTAAGTGATATGTTGGTTTCTCAATTGAAGACTGTTTTCAATGTTATGTCAGCAAATATTTTCACGTGGAGCTTATGATCTGGATTGGTAGTTTAAGGATTTCTTTCTTTCTCCACATTTGCAGAAATGGTGATAAACATGGCAGAGAAGGATTTATAAGTCATGTTGCTTGGCAAGGTTTCCTTAAGGCATGCTATTGAATTCTGCACTTTTACTGTGTTGAAAGCATTTTTTTTTTTTTTGCGAGAGTACAGTTGACATAAGGATATGTGACATTGAAGAGCAAATACCAAATCTGCACGTGCTTTATGTTACAGCAGAGGTACAGCGTGTCCAGGGCAAATTATGTGTTGACAGTTTCATTTAGTTTTGCCTTTTTTTTTAAACAACGTGACACAGTTGTTCCAGTAACTGTCCTGGGTTTGTTTGGATGGAGTGCAAACACTAGTTTTTCCTTTACATTTTTTTTTTTTTACACAGCCATTCAGAGACTTTGACCAACGAGTGGTCGGTGAATGTGACTTTGAGCTAAAGTTGGGCATTAGTTATGAGCATAAGCTAAGCTTAGGAGAGACAGTGTGGTTAGAGTGATGGATAGGTTTTAGTTCTGGAAGAAAACGTGGTGAATCGATAAGAAACGAGATGGCTGGAGGTGAAATTCAAACTCAGACGCAGGAACAGAGTTCATTAAACTAAATCTAAGCTGGACTCAGTTGAGGGATAAAACATGTGACATACAAGAAAAGAAACATTTTCTTGGCAAAAATGTTACAGCGGATATATTATGCAAATAGACTTTGTTAAGCTTTTGGTTCAAATATTTGAGTCTCTGGAGTGATATATGTATATACATATACATATATATATTTGCAATGGACTGGACTGTGATCTAAAGTGCACCCCCTCCGCCTGTTGATAGTTGGTATTGGCTCCGGTACACAATGTTAATGCTGCACAGAGGATCGGTCACTCAGTGCTACTGTACCAAGAAATAAAAAAGCAAAAAGCACTTATCATTATATTAACTAAAACACTAACACAAAACTAACAGACACGGGCATTGTGATGAAATGATATTCTATAAAATAGACAAAACTAATAAGATTTGTAAATCCTGAATTGACATAAATCATAAGTTCGCACAAATAAGCATTGCTAAGAGTTGAAACAATTGAATAAAGTTGCTCTGACGATCATTCACAGACAAAGTCATTATAATTTCCCTTTAACTCATTTGTCTCTAAAAACTGTTTTGGACAAAACCGCAGAGAACCCATTCACAAATCCATCAGTTTGCCGTCTAGTTTCGTTCCGATAAAGTTTTTCGCTTCAAATTGAGGATGACAGAGGGTGTCGCAGGAGGAGGTGTTAATGAGGATATTTGTTTTGTTCTTGGAAGGCTGCACCGACCGCAAACTGACAAGGGTGACTTATGCTGTGTGTATGTGTGTGTGTGTGTTGCGGGGAGGGGGGACACTGAGGAGGAGGTGGTGAGGTCATGGATTGTGTGTGCATGAGTCAGACGGAGACAGGACCAGAGAACCTCATTTATGCTGGAGAACCAGGCAAAGACAAGTGGTTGTATGAAAGGCTTTGATTTAAAGTCATCATTGGTTGGTTCACTTTAACACCCATGAACTCAACTACAGTATAAAAGTTCTAGGTGAAGATCCTGCCAGTGGCGTTAAGACAAATCACAGGACTGAGGAAAATGTTGTGAGGAGAAAGGACTCTTGTGATGAGACATAACACAAAACTCTGATGACAAACTGCTCTTAGCTGAGGACTGAAAGTCAGTGTGTTCTCCAAGTCAGTTCTGGGGTTTTCGTTTACAGTAAACAACATACCTGTTGTTCTCAAACGTCGTATGAGTCTGTCTTTGAACCGTCTTCTTCCAGCACCTCAGGGACGGGAAGGGGCCTCTTGGGGGGGATCGGGAGGGGGTGACTTGTCACTAGCTCTTCCTCACGTACAGTAAATCAGCCTTGGATTTGGGCACAGACAACCCAACACCACTGCTGGGTGGAAACACATCGTGGTTAAAGAAGTAAACCTGGAAATGCACAAGACAATATGACGTCTTGTCCTTCTTCACGTGCTTCAGAAGCCATAGAGATGACCAGGAAATAAAGTCAAAAGGACAACGCTGTGCCTGAAAGAACTAAACTCACCATATATCACCATAATCTGTCCACCAGGGTACATTACATTCTACAGTCAACAATTCATTCGATTTCTTTCCACACATACCAGGGTACATTACATTCTACAGTCAATTCATTTGATTTCTTTCCACACACTTTTGTGCTAAAAACTTAGGCCTTAAGCCCCTGATGACTTAGGGCCTGAGTCATCCCCACAGCTGATGTCGCACACGTGACCATGTTGACACGGAGATCAGTGGAGTAGATAGGAGTGTGGATGTGTGTTTGTTGAGGAACAGAAACCAGTTATATCAGCACGTGATCAGATTTCTGAAAAATCCACAGCCTGTGTTGTTCTTGGAGATGTTGTAGGTTTTAGCCTGAGCTCATATATGGTTCATATATACAATTACATACGAACGCTGGACTTATCGCAACGTCTCATCTTTAACACTGTGTGCCAGGTGTCATTTTTGACTCCTTGCTTTTTCTGCCAAAACAAAGCGTCCATGACCAACCGAACAAAAATTCCACACCTGCACACTAACGCTGACGTGCATGTGGTTCCAAAGACCTACATACTCACCCCTTCAACAGCCTTAATCCCAGGATATTTACTGTTCAGATAAAGATCTGGATTTATTTCCTCTCAGGGGCCCTAGAATGAGAAAAAAAGCAAGATAAAAAATGTCTTTATTCACTGTGCTGGTTGAAAGCAATCAAGTCAAACACAAATAATAGGTTGTTCTACAGGTAAGGTTTTATTACTGTGTGAGTTTGATGAGAAACATGCACCAAAACATCTGGTGTCTAACCTAATCCTGAACATGCTTTGTCCAAACATGACCCACATTTGTCAAAGTTTAGGGCTGCGATCCAAACAGATGAGTAACTGGTGAATTTCTATATGCAAAGTGAACCACCTTCTCCACGGCTTTCTGTATGAGTTTCCTCTTCTATTAAAAGAATACCATGGATTGGTTAGTCATCTCCTAATTTCTGAGTGTTCGGACTGCAGGCTAAATAGGTTATTTAATTTCTTCCATCGGTTATTGTTCGTTACTGCATCTCATTTAATCACAGTGTGCTGGGAACATGTAGTTCCTTATTCCAGGCATTAACAGTGGAACAAAGAGAGATTTAAAATCAGTGTAAAATCAATTTGAATTCATTGGTCAGAGGTTTGAGATTTGGATGCGTGTGGTATGAATCATTGCATTCCTTTTTAATAATTAGATTTTTTTTTGTCCCTGAGCAAACCTTTAAATAACAAATCGGAAAAAACAAGAAGTGAGTAAATTCTTTACCCCGTTTAATTAAGAAGTTGATAAGGTGATGTTGCCTGTCATGGAACATACCAATTAAATCTCTGCTCATAGATCTCTTATCATTATAAATTGCATTTAGATTCAGGATGGAATTTCTTTTTGAAGACACAGGAATCTATCTGTAGTCTTTTAGTCTAATGAGAATTGCGTTAAAGACTCAACCCAAAGTACTACCAGGACTGAGGCAGTACACTGTTCCAGTCCTAGAGTCTAAACTTACTCTCAATAGATATACTCTGATGGCTAAATGCTATATTTTTTAGGACCAAACACTATAAACAGTGTTGGACAGGTTTCTTAAAAAAAAAAAAAGTAATTAAATAGTTACCAATTACGTCTCCAAAAACGGAATTACTACACTATGTAACTAGTTACCAGGGAAAGTAAATATTGCATTACTTAAAAAATGTTTAAATATGTTGAAGATTATTTTAAGCTGGTTTCACAAGACAGAACTGCATAGAAAGATATTTGCAAAGATTTTTGTACTATAAATTGCACCTCAACAGACTACAACTGGTAGACACACTGTGCTTCAAGTACTTTCGTCGTAATAAAAATACAGTTAAATAATATGAACTACTTTTAACTGTTTGTGCATACTCTACAAAGCTAGCCATTAGCTTTGTAGAAGCGCGTGACATTGAGAGAGGCTTTATTAAATTAGAGTTTCTTAAAACGGACATGATAAAACACTTCGCTTCGGTACATAATGTAACTCACGTGTACATTCTTGTTTTCCCTTAACGAGACTGAAGTAGTTCCTGTACTTCCGTTTTGAAAACGTCAACTTCCCCCTTTCGCCATTGCCGCCGCTTACCTCATCGGAGCTGGTTGTGTGCGTGTCTGATTTGCTGCCTCTGATTGGCTTACAATGACAGCTACTCTACGCCAGCCAATCAGCATCAAATATGCGATTGTCTCCTCCCTCCGTTCACCTGCACCGAAAACAATAAAAAAAATAAATAAATAAAAAAAAAAAATAATAATAATAAATAATTTTAATTGTTAGTAATGGCGTAATTAGTCAAAATACCCATTACTAAAACAAAATAAAGCCCTTAGTAACTTTGTTACTGGCCCCATCACTGGCCATGAATGAAAACTGCATTTTAGTTCCGTAAAAGGGTTAATGTTTCTGCAGAGAAAATCAAGACAATAAGAGATATTTGGTACATTATCCATAGATGGGATGTTAAGATTTTCTGCTGACTCTTGCAGAAATGAGCACACATGCGTTTATGATAAATGTGGGGAAGTCTCAAAGCGCTACGTCCTGATTTATACCATGGGATTTCGGCGTCATGTTTTGGAGAGAATTTATCATCAATCTTGCTTCCTGAAGGTTTTACTGCTCTTGGTCATGGATGTTGGAATACTTGAAGACCACAGATGAACAAAGACTTCATATACTTTTTGTTAGAGAGGGAGATGAGGCAGAGGTGATGAGTCTTTCCGTTACACTGTGGCTCTTCACCCAGAGGTCCTTGAATTATTGTTTTTCCAGGGACAATAGATAATGTTTGTGAATTACAACCATCCAACAGCGGATTTATTTGATATGCAGTGCTTTTCTTTCTGTTTATTATTAGGTTTCAAAGGAATATTCCTTAGAAACAAAACCAAAGTCAAAAATCTAAAAGACTCATTTGTAACAGTGTTTTTGTTATTATCCTGTCTACAGCAATTGCAAAAAAAAAAAGAAAAAAGCAATGCCTGGTGCAGTTACAGTCATGGGCGAAGGGTTATTGCTGAGCCTGTGGTTACCCAGTGCTGATTGTGAGATCGGGAGACCATGGCCGCATCCTCATGACCTGTGGTCTTTCCATAGGGTAATCAGTACCGCAAAGTCCTGGTCTGTTGGTATTATATCTGTCGGCTGATATTTCTTTCGAAAAAGGTTTGAATGCTTTAGTAGTAATAAAGCGGTGAGGGAATATTATTATTTCTTTTCTTTTCTTTTTTAAATGCCTGTCCCTCCCACACACACAAATGTGACCCACGTGTCACCGTTTTCAAACACTCCCTAACCCCAGCCCTAACTCCATGGTTGATCTGGAGATTACTGTAAAGAAAAAATTAAATTGACACTGATTTTTTTTTTCTCTTCAGGCAGCTGAAGTCATCCTGACCCAGAATTCATCTTTATGTCTTCATCCGTGGCCAAACCACACTGGTCTGGACCAATCAGGGATCTACGAGGGAGGAAACAGCCTGAAGGCATTAGCATAGAGCGGTTGCAGTGCTCCGTCCGCACACTGTTTACATTGGCTGTATTAGCCTATCCTCTTTTATGACATTTTAAACTCATATTATTTTATTATACTATATATTTTATTCAGTACTTACCATATGTCTAAATACATAATGTACTTATTATTGCCTGTATTTTATTAGTTGTTCGGTACTTCAGGTCTTTGTTTACTACTACTGCATAGTGCATTAAGTTTATGCCCCTGATATGACTTCCTTTAATCCATGTAAGAACATTTTATGCTATGTTAAGTTCTTTCAAAACGAGAAACCAAACCGCTGCCCTTTAAGTATCATATTTGAAATGATTTAAAGCAGCCAAACTTTTTTTCTATCTATCTATCTATCTATCTATCTATCTATCTATCTATCTATCTATCTATCTATCTATCTATCTATCTATCTATCTATCTATCTATCTAATGAGACACCTTTAAAAAATATTATTGTCTTTGAATGTTACTCAAACTCATATGTTTTTTTAACAATAAATTATTCTGTTTTTTCATTTCTCTCACTTCTTTTAATTTTTACTCACGTTCCTCCAGAAACATCGGCTCTCATGTCTTTCTGTGCACGTGCCACGTGTTCATCTTCAAAATCTGTCTCTGCCCAGAGCTCCCGGTGTCATGAACCTTCTTCTTCTCCCGGCATCGTCACGTTTTCGGTCTAAACACTGACTCACAGGCCCTCGTGTTCACGTGCGCTGTACGCAACTCTGCGCCGGCCTCACAAATTGAAAGTCATTTGTCTTAAACCATTCTTGGTTCTAACATCTCCCTGACAGCCTGCATCACACCCAGTGTGTGAAGACAAAAAAAGAGAAAAAATGTCCCTGGAGCCAAAGTAAAGCGATCCCTCTCTGAGATCTTATCTGAGTAACCCCACTCAGTTAGGTCTGATCTCAGTCAAAACAGGTTCATTAGCAGTGAGTGCAGCATGTGGGGAGAGAGTACGGCCTAAGGCAGGACGCAATGTCCAAATGCAAGGTGATTAGTTTTGGAGGACCATTTGAAAACATAAACAACAGCATATGTTTTCAGGTGGTCTTCTGGGAATATAACCTGGGATGAGAAACGATGCGATTGGATGTGTGATTCTATGATGTATTCGAGGACCAAAATCATTGCACGTAAATTAGTTGCCTCCAATTAATACGTCTGAAATCGGCTCTGAAATCATGTGACCCAGATTTAACCAATTGGACAAAGTCACTAATGGTGACGCTCTTTTATAGTTAACTGATTGAGTGAAATTTGTTCTTATTGGGAATTAAGACACAATTCAAATCCAGTCTTAAAAAAAAATTTCACAGGCCAACAACAACAAAAAAAAACAAATACTAAAATATATGTGCTATATTTACTAGAGAGACAGATTAAGAAGGTACACACTACATACAGTACATTCACAAAGTCTTATTGCACAGAAGCGGAACTTAACAAAGATCCGGTAACAGTACCACGGTTCCTATTCGAGGCTGATTTCCCTCCTGTGGTGACGTACAGTAAGCTCAGTGGCTGAAACATGAAAAAGTTTGGAGTTCGACTTTTAACTCTGGCATCTGTTCATGAAACTGAAGATTGAAATTTAGCTTCGCCACAGAAATTGACGTTGAATGGAGCTTCAACACTGTTGACTCAGGATTACTGTGTGTCCTAAACAGTAATTCCTTATTTATTACAACTTTCCAGGGAATTTTATTATGGAAAAAAAACACATATGAAGATAACAATCTGTTTAATAGTGTCAGCTATATAAAAAAAAAGCTCCATGTTTTTTTTCTATAATAAAGCTGGGGTTCATTTGTGGAGCCCAGATCTTCTCCCAGCTCCTCCAGGGTGGAGATGCAGACTCGCGGTGTGGTGAAGGAGCATGACGGCACTACAGAAACATGAGATTATATTGTTATGTTGCAGGCGCCTGGTTAACATGACATTTATTGTGGGTTTTTTATTCAGGCATCTGGAGACTCAGCTGCGGGACAAAACGAGACAAATGTAAGTCATCGGCTGACTCACAGGGGGAAACATGCCAGGCAGCTGTGTCGGATTTAAGCTCCTCTTTAACACGCTGTATGTAAACATTATTTCATAATGGCCCTGCGTAAACGTTAGCATCAGACGTGGTGAAATAAAAACAACGTCAGTAACTTTGGACCGAGAATGAAGAATGTGTTGTGTTTTTTGAACAAAAAGAATCTCACAGTAACCTTGAATGCTCCGGTTTTGTTTTCTGGGGACCCATATTTTAAAAGTCACAAAGCTTCACGACCCAAGTCAATAGACATTATTCGTAAACTCCTGGGAAACATGATGCGAGACGACCCAAAAAAAAAAAAAATTCTTGCGACCCACCTGAGGGTTGCGACCCAGTCTTTGGGAACAAGACTCAAATCTACAAATCCGGCATTAAAAGAACTAATTTAAAATTGTCATCCCTAATATCTTTTTGATAGTTTTGATGAATCAAATCAAAACATTTTAACAATTTAACGAAGAACAATTATTATATAATAAAAAAATATTTGGCATGTAGATTAAATAAGTTTAGCCTCAACCTTCAATTCAGATAATGATCCAAATGACATGGATGACAGTATTTTGACAGTATTTTAGGCCCATGCCAGTTTAATGCCAGCAAATCCATATTTGACCCCTTCCCATCACCCCCACCTCCTTCTTTTCTCCTCTCTGCTCCATTTACTGTGACAGTTGTTAATCCATACCCACAAATAATGATGGAAACTTTGTCCACACATGGTTTCCATCCCAGTGTGGTTTCAGCTGAGGTTTGAGCTCAGAGTAAAGCAAAAACAAAATTACAGATAAGATGACAAACACATTTCAGATCGGCTCAGGAGTCAGAGCGGCAGAGTGTGACCTTTGAACGTAGCACGTTGTCCATTACATTCAGACCAGTGTTAAGTGAGTTCACAGAGTTGAGCCTTAGGACTCATTACAGTCCAGTGTGATGGTGATTTTTTTTTTCCCCCAACAGGATTATTTGAATCAGGGATGACAGAGGTGAGGAGCAGTGAAAAATAACACCTATAACCCTAATGGAAATGCTCCCTGATACTGATACTAGATTATTAATCTGGTGAATGGGTGTTCATTAAGTAAGTACTTCAAATAGTGGGCTGGGCACCTCTGGGGTGGGGGGGGGGGCATGGTGAGGTGTATGTGTTGCTTCCAGTGGGACAGAAGTGTGCCACTGCTATAATGCTCAAACGATAAACAAGACTCCAGTCACTAGGTGGCAGCAACTCATCCAGTGGTTTGTTAAGACAATAAAATACACATGAGGTACAAGCACATGTGACATCATCTAGTTCAGAGGGTGTATGAACTTTTTAGGCTTTGAAGTAGGCGGCTAAAGTGAGCTAGCCACATAGAAAACGTTAACGAAAAAAGGAATGCATTTATTTAGAGGATGACGACGTTATTTGTGCCACCGGCAAAGATAAAACATTCCATTCGCAGATGTTGGGCAGCATTTGGTGACCAGATTGTGAAACAATAAATTCAAATGAAAGTTACTTTTTCCCTCAAAAACAAATAGCTCTTAGACACATGGGAACACAGGTTTTGCTATGTACCTCGCCAACTAAACGTATCTGATTTAAACGTCAGAATTTACTAGAGGACAGC